GATCCGGTGAAGTGTTCGGATCGTGGTGATGTGGGCGGTTTGCTGCCCGTGACGTTGCGAGAAGTCCATTGAACCTTATCATTTAGAGGAAGGAGAAGTCGTAACAAGGTTTCCGTAGGTGAACCTGCGGAAGGATCATTGTCGAACCCTCGCGGTAGAATGACTTGCCAACCTGTACCAATTATTGATTCGAGTGTCGGGGTGCTGTCTTTCTGATTTGCCCAGACGAACAAAAACACCGGCGCAGCAGCGCCAAGGAATACAATAATGAGTGTGCAACCTCGCAGAGCTCAATTATGCTGCCCGTGAGCTTCGCACCCTTTTAATAAAAATGACTCTCGGTAATGGATATCTCGGCTCTTGTATCGATGAAGAACGTAGCGAAATGCGATACTTGGTGTGAATTGCAGAATCCCGTGAACCATCGAAACTTTGAACGCAAGTTGCGCCTCAAGCCATTGGGTTGAGGGCACGTCTGCTTGGGTGTCATGCATTATGTCTCCCCTCTTATGTGTGGAGTGGGAATAGATCCTGGCCTCCTGGGCCCTTCCTTGGGCGTGGTTGCCCAAAAATGTTGTCCTCTATTTTGTTGATGTCTTGGTGTGCGGTGGATGTGCCAGGTGTGCATAGTTGCCAGCCTTGCTCGGCTTCATTGTGGCGCCGGGATCCTATGAAGCTGCCGGTTTTGGCTCTTTGATTGCGACCCCAAGTCAAGCGAGACTACCCGCTGAGTTTAAGCATATCAATAAGCGGAGGAGAAGAAACTTACAAGGATTTCCTTAGTAACGGCGAGTGAAATGGGAACAGCCCAGCCTTAGAATTGAATGGTTTTGCCGTTTGAATTGTAGTCTGGAGAAGCGTCCTTAGCGGCGGACTGGCCCAAGTCCCCTGGAAAGGGGTGCCGGAGAGGGTGAGAGCCCCGTCGGGCCTAGACCCTGTCGCACCACGAGGTGCTGTCTTAGAGTCGGGTTGTTTGGGAATGCAGCCCAAAAAGAGTGCTTGAAATTGTCGAGAGGGAAGCGAATGTAGACCGGCGATAGGCCCAGGTTGGATGTGGAACGGTTGTTAGCCGGTCTGCTGATAGGCTCTGGGTGTGGATCAGCGAGAATTCAGGTGGCGGTTCAAGCTTGGGCATTTGATATGCCAGGGGAATGCCGTCTCTTGTATTGTGGGACGTAGTGCGCGCCCTGCGTGTGCTTCGGCACCTGCGTACTCATGTCGTTGACTTGTGGGCTCTCCATTTGACCCGTCTTGAAACACGGACCAAGGTGTCTGACATGTGTGCGAGTTGGCGAGTGGAAAAACTCGCAAGGCGTAAGGAAGCTGATTGGCAGGATCCCTCTTCGGGGTGCACCGTCGACCGACCTTGATCTTTTGAGAAGGGTTTGAGTGTGAGCATACCTGTTGGGACCCGAAAGATGGTGAACTATGCCTGAGCGGGGTGAAGCCAGAGGAAACTCTGGTGGAAGCCCGCAGC